GATGACTTGATTGCTCATTAAATATTGCACACTTATATTTTATTATGGAATCTTCAAGTCGTCACATGGGCCAAGTGGGAGATTGTTAAATTAATTTTATATTAATTTAATAATGTGACCCATGTAATTTAATAGTCTGACTTTAATTAAAATGGGCTCAATATGATGGTTATTAGCCCAATAGAGAAAATAAAGTCAGAAGGGGTTAATTGAGTAATCCCTCTCCTCTTCCTTTTAAATTTTAAAATAGAGGAGTTATAACAAAATAGTTTTTATAAAAAGTACAATCTCTTAACCATCAAGGGGACGGAACAAAGAAAGGAAAAGGGGAGAAAAGAATCAAAAGAAACATCTTGAAGGAACATACAAGACAAAGAAAAACAATTATGGATCCAGGTAAGTATCTTTGTTATTTCTATTATTATATGAAAAAGTGAGAACCATAAAATTTAAGATCTTATGTAGTTCCCATAAAATGTAATTTTAGAAACTATCATAAAAGATTTTTCATGTAAAATATTTTTGATCCTAGTAAAATGAGTAAATTTTAATTCTGATTCTAGTAATACATGATTTTAAGATATAAATTTTAATTCTGATTCTAGTAAATTTTAATTCTAAACCCTCTAAAATCTAAAATTACCATTTTTTGTCTCTAACAATGATTTTAAGATATAAATAACACTTATTTTAGACCTAAATATGTTTTTATTCTGCGTAAAATAAGTCACTTTTGATATTGGTTCCTATAAAATTTTTCATTGTTATCTTTTCTCTAAAATTGAAATTGTTGATTTTAATCTCTATTATTATGTGATCAATTTTAACTATTTTTATCTTTATCATTTGGTAAAGTGATCATTCCTAGTGACACACCCCACAACTGTATTCGATATCATGTTAGTAGGTGACAATTCTAAAAAAAATTATATCCTTAAAGTAAATGTTATTTATCCACCTTAAAATGAACATTAGGAACCAAAAATAGTGACCTTAGGTTTGAGAGGGATGAAAATCAAAGAAACATATTTTACAGAGAATAAAATCAAAATTTGCTCATTTTTTATGGACTAAAAGCAGTAATCCAAACTTTAGAGAGATGAAAACAAAAATATTTTTTTAAGAACTAAATAAAAATAATAATCATTTTATAGTGACCAAAAACATAATTAAACCTTTATTTTAAGGAATTAAAAAAATTAGAGATGGCACACACTAACATTGTGTAGCAACCAAGTTCGTCACAGGACGCACAAAAATAAATTAAAAACATGAAATCGCCAACAATGTTTATTTTAGAAAAAAAAATATTGGAAAAATCATATAATAAAAAGTGGTCTACGGAAACAATTTTTTGAGTTTAAAAGTTGGTTACGTGTAGAAAAGATATTAACACCTATAATGTAGGTCATAAAGACAATTACCTCTAATTAATTAAATAAATTATTTATAACTTTTAAAATATTTTTCTCGACCAAATTGATAAAGTTAATGATGGCAGTATATTTTATTTAACAAGTGCGTTATTTTAATGAGTATTAAAATCATTATTACTATGGTTATGAGAAAAAGAAAGTTAATAGTATAGTTTTTTTTTTCTCAACAAGAATGATATTATGCTCCTACGTATCTCCATGTGTAGGAAGAATCAAAGTGTAGTTCTTTTGAAAATATTTGTATGTTGAAATTCTTGATCAAATGTTTAGTTTTTATTAAATTTAGAATTTTTGAACCGTTACAACTTATACGTCCTAAAAGCCAACTTATTATAATATTTAATTTTTAGTTATCACAATCTCTATAACTATCACTATCACTATCACTATTATTATTATTATTATTATTATTATTATTATTATTATTATTATTATTATTATTATATTTATTTTTGACTTCATATTTGTGTTGAAGAGAAATGTTTAAAGATATCAAACTGTCACAACTTGTACTTATAAAACTCAAAGATTAAAAATGTTACATCCAATTAATTATTTCTCCAATAAAATTTGCTATAATAATTTTTAATATTTCTATTAAACATTATAGTAATATTTTTAATATTTAATTATGTATTTTTGAATTTAGATAAAAAAAAAATTTAAGATAACAAGTTATTATAACTTGTATCCTTAAGTTCTATGATTAAGAAAATGCCACATTCAAATAATCCTTTTATATAATATATTACTTAATTTTGAATAATCCTTTCCTTGATAGATTTTAAAATTTGATTTGAACTAGAGATCATAATTTATAAAATAATGTATTCTTAAATATCTTAAGATTGTGAACTGAAATGAAGAGGAAAGGGGATGTGTGAAAAAAAATGAGGAATGGATGTGTAAAATTTAAAATTTTAAAAATTTAAAAAAAAATTAAGGATATTTTAAGAGTTTAATTTAAAAAAAAAATGAAGTGTATATATTATGAGTTTTTTTTTTCATTTATATTGTATTTTCCTGTATACTCTCGATGTTATTCATCCAAGTACAATACCACGAATATTTCATCTTTTATCTTTTCCACATTTTTTATTGGTTTTTTTTAACCAATAAAATGATATAAAGGAGATGACAGTTCCATGACTATTGACCGAACAAGGAGCTAATAATATGTCGGGATCGTCATACCAAACACTTTTATCCACTTTTTCATAGGTATCTAAAGTCATAATAAGTTTTCAATTTGATGTAGGACTTTACTTATCAAACTATGGACTAATAGAGACCACTAAAGGACTTAATTTTTGCCTCTAGTGTGAAGGGATTTTCTTGAAGTATATTCATTGAGTAAGATTTTAATGGTCTTAGATGTCAAACCCATGTCATTGGTATTTTGTTCTTATATATTATTCACCAAATTTTTAACAATTAAAAAATTGATGAAAAAATATGAAAGAAATGAATAATTAAATAATTGTTACTAAAATTTTCTTGTTTTCTCTCTCACAATTTTATTATTCATATATATATATATATATATATATATATATATATATATATATAATTTATACATATAAAAAAAAGCATGTATCTAGCTTATAAAAGAAATATTAATGAAAAAATATATATAAAAAAATAAACATTTAAATAATATTACTAACACAAATGAAACTTAAATATGTTTTTAATCTTTGTAAAATGTGTTACTTTTGATTTTTGATCTCTATAAAAAAAAATTGTTTTCCATTCCTCTAAAATTGAATTTGTTGTTTTTAGTCTATATTATTATATGATTATTTTTAACTACTTTTGTATTTATCATATGGTGAAATGATCATCTCTAGTGACATCCACAACTATATTTGACACTATGTTAGTATAATAGTACGTGGCACCTCTAAACAAATTATAAATCTTTTTAAAACAATTTTTATTTATCCACCTTAATTGAATATTAGAGACAAAAATAGTGACTCTAGGTTTGAGAGAGGTGAAAATCAAAGAATTTTATAGGAAAAAAATCAAAATTTGCTTGTTTTTTAAGGACTAAAAATAATAATTTTAAATTTTAAAAAGATAAAAAATAAAGAAATTTTTTTATAGAAACTAAAATCAAAACACGCTCAATTTATAAAGATTAAAAACATTTTTAAGTTCGTAAAAAAAATGATATTCTCTTTTGTAATTTACTATATAAGAGCTGATTTTTTTATCAAAACAAAATTAATTATCTTTAAAGCATTTTTTAGCAACTCAAACAAATATTTTTTTTATTATAATTAATTATAGCAATAATTAATCATATATATAATTCATCGTTGAAATAATTAATTTTTACAACTAAGATACACAATGGCAAACTTATAAAACATGAAATATTTTAAATAAATAAATAAAAAAAACAAATAGTTTAACAAAAGTATTTGATATATTGAAATAATTCATAAATAACTCAACCTCTTGTAAATCCGTAATTGTAAACTACTTGAAAATGTCCTGAATAATAAGTTGCTAATGAATCCCAATATGTCAATAGTCAAGAATCCAAAGTTACCGAAGCAAAAGTACCTTTCAATAGTCTCTTCACATCTCATGCACAAGTTGTTTAAAGTATGTTTTTGTTTCAAGTAAAATGAAAGAAGGATGACATATCTCTGTCTATATAGGCCAAAAGTATGTTTCAGACTTAAAGGAATATGAGTAAGAGTTAAGAATGTTATAGATTCATTAAACCTTGCACTGAGACAAACTCCACAACTACTGTGAGTGGTCTTTCTTTTGATTAGGAGTGCCATTACCTTTTCAACTAGCTCACCTCTCCCCGGTAACATTTACAGTAAATAAAGAAAACCCTTTTAAAATAATTAATTTTTTGATAAATGAAGTTCTTCTATGAAATATATTGTATAATTGTGATGATTTCGATGTAAACTGAACCAATTTTTCTAATGCCATCATGTCCCATTATATTCTAATTAATAATGTTTCTTTGTGATACCAGTTCAGCTCTAAACAAAACAATTCTTTTATTACCAGTTTTTTTATTAGTCCCTTCTTCAAAAGGAAAAAAATTCTTTGGAACATCAATTTCACAACTAGAAATATGTGTGATATTATTTATGACGCTTGGCAATAAACTAATCACATACATGTATAATGATTTGTCACATGAGAAGTTTTGCTAAATGGATTGTTGACTATACAACCTTGGTAACTTTAACCTGTCTTAATCTGCTAATAATTAAAAGTAATACCGATAGTGTTCAGCAATTAGGACAATTCAAAATATTTGGTAAGTGGGTTTTTCTCTGTAATTTAGTTTTATTTTGCATTAGAAAAAAATGTATGATGTTAATAGATTGATTATAGATGTTGCCAAACATAGAAGTATCTTCAAATTTTATGAAAATAGGCTCCCCTTAGGCTTAAATATTTCTTAAATTCTAAGAAGCCAGAATACTTAATAAACTTGAAACTCACATTTCACCAACCAGCATAAGAATTGTTTCTACTTGTCATACATCTGTTTTTGAATCTCCCACTGTTATGAATACCAACCCATTTAACATCATTCCCATTTATAACAATAGACTTTTCCTCATCTTCCTCAGCATGCCTATGTAAGAAGGGCATGCCATGGAGAAGAAAACAAGTGCCCAAGAGTCACGCATATTGAACCAAATATTTTTCCCTAAGCAACTCAACAAAGTATACCCAATTAGGCTTCAAAGAAGCTCTTCAACTTCATCCTTATCGTCCTTATCATCATCATTGTCACAAAATTCAGATGACTCTTCCATAACAGATTCTTTGAATCTAGTGGATGACAATTTTCAATTTGCACTGAATTTGATTTCACCGCACCGAAAAAGAAGAGAACCAGGTGTTACTAATACTTCGCACCAACAACATAGTCCATATACTACTGAACTTGGTGAATTGAAAAGGTGTAACTGGATTACAAAGAACTGTGGTATGATCAATTTCTTTACTAGTATCATCATTTTCTTTTCTTTTCCATTGAAATAATGAATATTGCTAAGTCAAATTTTTTTAGGATACTGCTTAAAGACATTCAATAGGAAACCCAAGAAAAGTTTTATTAGACGAGAGTCTGTTAATAGTCAAGTATCACTTCAAACTTCATATCATGTTAGCCCTCAAACAAACAAATGGTATATTTTAGAGGATGGTGCTATATTGCTGACACGCAAAGTGTTCAGCATTGTCGATATATTTGAGGATACAATTACATATCTATATGTTTATGAAATTAATTTTGATATACTGTCATTGTAAAGATTTTTACATCTTTTTTAAAGTAACTATTACAGAAGTCAATGGTTTACAGTTATATGGCAATCCATGATTGGCTTACAATGTAAAAAACCTTTACATTGTTGGTGTATTCTAATCAAATTCTATGTTTATTTAAGGAAAAGTGAAAAATAGAAAGCAACAAACTACTTCACTGAAAGTAAGTCTTTCCATCTATAACTTCCAATTGTGTAACAAAGACTTGAATAGAGCAGGTTGCTTTCACATCGGTATCAATACTAGTGTATACCTTGAACACAAAATCAAGTGGCATACTCTGGTTGTTGTGTGTTGCTTGACTATATTGCTATTATAATTTATAACAACAGTAGTATTGTGCCATAACAGGCAATAAGATATTATTTTAGATGGGTGATAGAGTTACTAATGACAAACTTAGCCCATGTGATGAAATTTTGACTATTATGAATGTTATATGTTAGTGACAACAAAAATAAGCACAACACTTTACCAATTTTTATTGCGATATTCATATCAAAATTCAAATTTCCCACTTTACATAGGAGAAATTTTTACGTAAATAATATTTTTTAAAAGAAAAATTACAAAAATGACACCTGTGCAAGTTCATTTACAGGGGAAACCGAATTCTGAGCTTCAAAATTTTTTTTCTTTTTTTTTTTCTCAAAATTCGGTTCTCGGGGAACCGAATTCTGAGTTAGTTTAAATTTTTTTTTTTCGTGTTTGTGGCCCATTTTGGGAAAATGTTGGAAGTGGAACAACCCGTTCTGCTTCCGGAACGGGCCGTTCTGCTTAAAGACACAGAGTCTTTTTTTTTAAATTAAAACGGGCTAAGAACGGCCCGTTCCGAAAGCAGAACGGGTCGTTCTTAGCCCGTTTTAATTTTAAAAAAAAGACTATGTTTCTTTAAGCAGAACGGGTCGTTCCACTTCCAACATTTGCCCAAAATGGGCCACAAGCACAAAAAAAAAGTTTAAAACTAACTCAGAATTTGGTTCCCCAGGAACCGAATTCTGAGAAGAAAAAAAAATTGAAGCTCAGAATTCGGTTCCCGGAGAACCGAATTCTGAGTATGAACAGTAAACCGTTCTATTCTTGTAAATAAACTTGCACAGGTGTCATTTTTGTAATTTTTCTTTTAAAAAATATTATTTCCGTAAAAATTTCTACATAGGACTTATGCTCATAAAGCCAATATTTCTAAGCTGTACCTACTCCTAGTTATCTATCATTTGACTTTTAATAATATTTTCTCCAAGAGAAATTAGAATAAGAATTGATATAGAAGATTTGTGCAGATAAAACATACATTGAATTTCACGATGAGTGTTGGGGAGTCCCGGCTTACGATGACAAGTAAGTAATGAATGTTTCTGAATGTTACAACTCTTTCTTTATCTTGAAAAAGAAAGACTGGTATTTATTTAGATACACATCCTCATAAGCATGATCCAATTCTCTTGCTTCATTCATGAAACAGAAAGTTGTTCGAGCTGCTTACATTGTCAGGATTGCTGATAGATTACAACTGGACAGAAATTCTAAAAAGAAGGGGAATTCTTAGGTAAGGAAAAATTTGAATTGTACATTATTTTTTTATGATTGCGACCACAGTGATAAAGATCGAACCTAATTCTAATTGTGCATGTTTCTTGGTTTGTAATTACCTCAACATATCTTATAATGTTATGCATGACACAGACACGTTTTTGCCGGATTTGATCCAAATACTGTGGCCAAAATGGATGAGAAAGAAATCATGGAAATAGCATCAAACAAGGATGTTTTATTAGCCGATTGCAGAGTTAGGTGCATAATAGACAACGCCAAATGCATAATGAAGGCAAGTACAGAATCAATAATGTGATGTGTATCCAAATTTTAGCAATTGGACATTCCATGACTTGACCAACATAATTGATCATTTTTTTCACAGATTGTGAGGGAATGTGGATCATTCAGCAGCTATATATGGGGTTATGTGAATCACAAACCAGTGATTAACAGATATAGATACGCAAGAGATGTCCCTCTAAGGACTCCAAAAGCAGATACCATCAGCAAGGACTTGATAAAGCGTGGCTTTCAATTTTTGGGTCCAGTGATAGTTTATTCTTTTATGCAAGCTGCAGGATTGACAATTGATCATCTTGTGGATTGTTATAGGCACAATGAATGTGTAAGCCTAGCAGAAAGACCTTGGAGGCATTTGTAACACTATGAGTGCTAACAGTTCACTTTCTAATACACTCTTTTGAGAAACTTTTTATTATTGGTTGAAATTTATTAAAAATTATAAAATGACAAGCAAGACTTACAAAGGTTATAATTTCCAAAAAAAATGCAGCCAATAATCGAGAGGGTACTGAAAAGAATGTATTAGATAGTGTATCGTTAACATCTCTCTATGTAACATTATCAATTTACTTTCATAATTTTCTTTTTGTTTTTGTATGAACAGCTTTTCAGTTTAACATACATGCCTACTCTAGCAAGAGGCAAAGGAAAAGAAAAAAAAAATGCATGCTTTGCAGTCCCTTTATTTTATTTTATTTTTTGGGTTTTTGGGGTCATTTTTTTCTTCTCTTCTTTCCATCTCATGTATTATTAAGTCATGCTTAGCCATTGTCAATAATTTGAAAAGGGTTGCTTGCTTGCTTTGAATTTGAGTGATGATCAGAGTCAGCCTTGAGGCCTTGTTTGTACACTACATGTTTGGTATGGTGAATACATCAGACCAATTATAGTGAATAAAAATGTTTTTTTTAGTAATTTTTTTAGTCTTCTTTTTATTATCTCTGAATCTTTTTTGCACTGTTCTAATATTATTATAAAAAAAAATAATAAAAAAAAAAACTAGTTTCATAGTCATCCTCAAACTGGTAGAAAAATGGTTGGTTTTTACTGTACTTTTTATATTTGTTAATTGAAACGTTGGACATTCTTAGAAAGGAGTTTGTACAAAATGGGGACAAATTGATATAATTATAGAAAATCTTATACCCATAATACAAATTATTAATCACAAATATTTCTCTGAACAACATATTCATACTTTATGTAACTAAACTATACCCAAGTTCCCACTTCCTCAATTTTTAATAATGAATCAACATCAAGATCCCTTGCCTTGCCCAACCTTGTATTGTTCCTTATCTCGATTGACATAGACAATCTTGTCTGTCTAATTCGTTAGACCCTGCCCCACCATTTTAAGACTTCTGCTTCTTAAGTACACCGCCAAATCTCCAAGCTGGGCAGTGAATACTGAATGGTGATCCAAATTGAGATCATACTTGCTAATGCTAGAAAACAGTGTCAAACAGTTGTGTTTTGTTTGTGTATGATGAGTTAAAATCAGGGCCAGGTTGTTCAGAAGTGCAACCGCCCAGGCCCATGTATAATAGGGGCTCAATTTTAAATAAAAAATATATATAGTAGTGTTTAATTTTATATTACGTTAAAATAAATTAAAATAATTATTTTTATATTTAAATATAAGATATAATATGATTATAAATTTTTTTCATTTTCATTGTTAGTGTTTTTTTCTTCTATGTATTACATTTATTAAAAGGGTAAAATATATTTTTCATCCTTATAAAATTTTTCAAAGTTTGATTTTAATCTTTAAAAAATATTATCTTATTTTAATCCTTTTAATTTGAAAATGCACAATTTTTAATCTTTAAAATTATTTATATAATATTTTATAATAAACAATAGTATTAAAGTGAATTGAATGAAAAATATAGTATCTTTTTTAAGATTTGTTAATATTATTAATTTATATAATAAAATATGTTATTTTTATTAAAGTTTTAATACATCATTTGAACTCTAAACTTTTTAGGATTCTTTAATTAGACCCTAAACTAAAAAAAACAAAATTGTAATTGAGTCTTTCAACTTCTTATATTTTTGTAATTTAGTTCGTAGGATTAGAATTTTGTTTACAAATATAACAATATTTTTAAGGTTAAAATTCTAATTTGATCCCTTATAATATTTTTTTGTTTCAATTTAGTTCCACTTTAATTTTTTGTTTTAATTTGGTTCCTAATAATTTAAATTATTGCAATGTCGGACTTCTATCCAAATTATTTAAACGAAGTTAACTGTTGGTTACGTGGATTCCAGGTGGATGCCACATAGATACATAGGTGAATGCCAAATTTCTTGAATGCACCTAGAACCAGAACGGCCCGTTCTGAAACCAGAACGGCCCGTTCTGAAACCAGAACGGCCCGTTCTGAAACCAGAACGGCTCGTTCTTGTTGCACATGTTGTGTGTTAATTTTGCATCTGGAACGAGCCGTTCCAGATGCAAAATTAACACACCACAAGTGCATCAGAATGGGTTGTTCTGACACCAGAACGGGCCGTTCTGGTTTTAGAACAGGCCGTTCTAGATTCAGAACGGGTTGTTCCAGAACGCCAATCACATACGTACATTCAATAGAATGTCGCAATGTGATTCAAAAATTGAAAATAAAAATTCATAACATATCATAAATTCAAAGACTGAAATATGGTTCAGAGACTAAAAGCAAAAATTCATAACATAACATATACTAAAAAAAGTTCAAAGAAATTACTGAGAAGAGAAATCATCTAGATAACGCTAAAGGTGTCAATAATACATCTTATCCACCATATAACACTGAATGGCTGATAGGATATCAGCATTATCTACTTGTACATGTGGTTGTGTGGTGAAATGTTGGTCTTGTGTATCCTCTTCCTTTACTTCAAGTTGTACCTCCTCAAGAACAGGTTGATGTTGTTGGGATACATTGGTCAATGACTTCAAGGGAAAACACCATGTCGTTTCATCCTTGACTGTATAGTGTCAATTTGGTAGTAAGTGGTTCACTCCAGTTTGACTAACAATGAAATAAAACCTGCTACCATTGTCCTTAGTGATACATTGCATTGTCCTTAATGATAAACTGTATAGCCCAAATATTTAGCAATTGAAGTTATCAATCCCTATTGACAATATTACCAAATTCAATGTTTGAAATGTTTTGTACCTTGAGTCTTTTTTCTTGCACGATTCACAACGTAAACTATAATCATCGACCATTTGTGTTTGGCATTCTGGAACCAAAACGACCCATTCTGAAACCAAAACGGCTCATTCTGGTTGCACTATTGTTGTGTTAATTTTGCATCTGGAACGGCCCGTTCCAGGTGCAAAATTAATACACCAAGAATGCAACCAGAACGGACCGTTCTGGTTTCAGAAGGGGCGTTCTGGTTCCAGATGGATTAAGGAAATTTGGCATCCACCTATGCATCTATGTGGCATCCACGTAACCAACAGTTAACGCCGTTTAAATAATTTGGACAGAAGTCCGACATTGCACTAATTTAAATTATTAGGGACCAAATTGAAACCAAAAATTAAAGTGAGACTAAATTGAAACAAATAAATATTATAAGGGACCAAATTAAGATTTTAGCCTATTTTTTATATCATACATACACAACCATATTACATTATTATTCTATCTATCATCATCTATACATATCATATTAGATAACTATTCTATATATCATTATTCACATGTAACATTTTTTAATATGTCTATAAAAATTATTGTAATCCCCTTATTCATAAAAATTTTGAAATAGTAAACAAATTGAACAGGTAAAGATTAGGATTTAATATACATGAATGATGATAAGAAATAGTAATATAATATGATCTTTGTACGATGATATAAACAATATTCTATCAAATTTCACCGATAATAAACAAATATATGATCTTGGGGACTAAATTATAAGAATATAAAAAGATGAAAGACGCGATTACAACTTTTTTAGTTTAGGGACCTAATAAATTTTTTTGAAAAATTTCAAGGACCAAATTATATATTAAAATTTAATTAAATTGTTTTATATATATATATATATATATATATATATATATATATATATC